CTCCTGCTCCTGCTCCTGCTCCTGCTCCTCCTTCTTTCTTCTTCCTCTTCGCCGCCTCCTACAATTGCCCACCCCTGTTCTAGGATGTCCCATTGAACGGAGCGCCTCCTAGGCTTCTAAACAAGGAACTACAATTCCCGGCATGCTTTGGGTTTCAACCCAGCGCGCAGGCGCACCGGAGAGCAAGCTCGACTTCGCTGAGAAGCTGCTTAGACGAGAGGTGAGTTGGGAAGGGCAGAATTGTTGGGGGGGCGGCAATATTGGGAAAGAGGAATTGAGGAGCGGGGCAAAGCACCCCTAATTGCAACCCTCTGCAACCCTCTGACGTTGCTGGGGCTGCAACTCCCACTGTATGTTGCAACCGCGGGTGGGGATAAGGGGAGTTGTAGTCCCAGCTCATTTGTCTCTATGGAAGGCAAAAGAGGCTCGTGCAATTCCCGGGCGGGGTGTGGAGCCCCCCCCCTTTTTCCGGGCTCCCCACTGCATGCGGGGGTATCAGCCCAGGAACCTCGGGAGGGCGAGAGGGCAGGAACGGGAACGGGGCTCAGAAAAGCTTTTGCATTTGCAACCTGGCGCCCTCCGCTGGGTGGGGAACCATGGACTCTCGTCCTCTTTTCCATTGCCAACCAGGTGCGCGACGTGGTGGGGGTCGGCCAGCCTCTTAACCCTAGCAGAGGAAGGGGCAAGGCTGCCCTCCCCCAGGGAAATCGATTTGGGGTTGCAAAAATAAGGGGATTTCTCGACACTCCCCCTGTCCCCGTCCCCCCCCCGCCCCCCGGGAATCCCAGCAGCTTCATTGCCTTCTCAGGAATAACAGCTGCTTCGTCTTTTTTAAAATTAGCTGTTTCTTAAACTTTTTTTTTTTTTTTTTTTTGCTCTTTTGGAGGACGCCCAAAGAGTTTGGCTATGCAACGGGGTAGTAGTGGTGGTGGATGATATAGACATAAGTGTTCATTAAATGCAACATTAAAATGGACACACTTGCAAACTATTTGTGGATTGCATCCTGCAAAAAACAGTATTCAACCTGTGAGATACTAACGTAAATATTTTTTTTCCCCATGGAAAACCCTGTCTTTAAAAAAAAAAAAGAATAAGAAGAAAGTCTGTATAGATTCTCAGTCATCTAGGTCACCTTTGTCCGAAAGGTCCTTTTTCTGGAGGCAAGTGGACTGTCTTGTTTTTTTTTTTTTCTTTGAAGATGTTTCGCTTCTCATCCAAGAAGCTTCTTCAGCTCTGACTGGATGGTGGGGAATGGAAAGATTTGTAAGCTGAAGAAGCTTCTTGGATGAGAAGCGAAACGTCTTCAAAGAAAAAAGAAACCCCAAGAAAGTCCATTTGCCTCCAGAAAAAGCACCTTGGAACAAGAATGGAGAAGAGTCACATAGTTTGCAATGTTCGCGCGTGTCTTCAATATCTGGCAAATAATTTTGATTTTCCCAGAACCCTAGACCCCCCAGGAATCCTCCAACATCCTTTAAAAAACACTACCTTAAAAAGAAGTGATTGGAAATTTCTTCCTAAGGAGGCAGAGGGACAAAGAGAATTCCTCCTGGTGTTTTTTTTTGGGTGGGTGGTGGGTGAGGTTTCTATAATCTCCCAGGATTTGAAATGGGTGCTTAACATTAGAACTGTCATTAAAAAGGCAGAATAAAGAATGTTCTTCCTGCATCAACTTAGGAAGTTCAGACTGTTGCAGGTACTGCTGATAACAGTTTTACAGAGGAATGATTGATTCGTACTTCTATAACTGTCTGGTTTGGTACAGCAGCCAAACAGGACAGGTACAGAGTCCGACGGAGAGTCAAGACTGCAGAAAGAACAGTTGCAACAAGGCTGCCTTCCATGCAAGTCCTGTAGATTGCAAAGGTCAGGAAGAAGGCTGAGAAGATACCTGCAGACCCTTCCCATCCTGGATATAAACTGTTCCAACTCCTCCCCTTAGGAGGGCGCTATAGGGCCATGATGGTAAACCTATGGCACGCGTGCCACAGGTAGCACGCGTAGCCATATCAGTGGGCACGCGAGCTCAGCTCCACCGCACATGCATGTGCCAGCCAGCTGATTTTTGGGCCTTCTGGGCCTACCGGAAGTAGGGAAACAGGTTGTTTCCTACCTCTGGAGGGCCACGGGTGGGTGGTGGGGAAGGCCCGTTTTTCTCTCTCACCTGGCTCCAGAGCCTTTCTAGGAGTCTGGGGAGGGCGAAAATGGTCCCCCCCCCCCGGAGGCCCTCCAAAGGCCAGAAACGGCCCATTTGCCAACTTCCGGTGGGACCAGAAGTTCTGTTTTTTGCTGTCCCCAGCCTCCAGGGGCCCTCTAGGAGTCTGGGGAGGGCAAAAATGTCCTTCCCCACCTGCCTGGAGATCTTCCAGAGTCCAAAAATGGTCCGTTTGCCAACTTGGCAAACGGGACATTTCTGGCCATCACTCTGCTAAACAACTATCGATAATTCCCACGACGCTGTCAAACTATCGTAGAAAGGCAGTATTACCATCGTTATTCTCATCTTCCCAATTGCCCAGTCTCCTTATCTTCTTGTGACTATAACTTCGTTGCTTGTATCTTAACGATTTATATTGTTTTAATTAGTATCTTAGTATGATTTATGTCGATTGCTTCTTTAGTATCCATGACGATCACTAAGTGTTGTATCTAATGTTTTATGATGAATGTATTTTTACAACGGCTATGATCGTGATCTATCACTATTGTTGTATGTACACTGAGAGCTTATGAACCGGAGATAAATTCCTTGTGTGTCTAATCACACTTGGCCAATCAAGAATTCTAATTCTAATGTCTATTAACCCACATAGTGTGGCTGTAGTATTGTTATTTACCCTTATTATTATCTTCTTTACTTGACTCTTTTATTGGTATTGTTATTATGGTTTGTTGCATGGTCAGCCAGATGTTCAGACTTGGCATTTGGCATTTTTGTCTACCTATTGGGTGCTTTCCAAAGACCTGTGACAGGCAGATGTGGATGTTTGATGGTGTCAGAGGTATCATTGGAGGATTTAAGCTGTTCCAAGCAAAGCTGCCATTTGCAATTGACTTGATGGGAATTTGTCAATGCCGGTGATGTTCAAGTGGTGCTCCAGATGTTTTAGGATTGCACCCAAGGCGCCTATTACTATTGGTACTGCATTTGCTTGCTTTTGCCACCGTGGTTCTATTTCTATTTGCAGGTCTTTTTATTTTGTTATCTTCTCCAGTTCTTTCTCTTCTCTTCTGCGGTCTCCAGGTACTGTCAGTTTGAAGTCTAAAGCTCCAGAGCAATTTTGCTTCTTCACTTAACGATGACTTTCTCTATTTTTATTATTCTCTTGTTTGCTTTGCATGTATGCTCTCAGTGCTTCTTTACCAGAGACAGATTCCCTGTGTGTCTAATCACTCTTGGCCCAATAAAGTATTCAAGTTTAGCTTGAATTTCTGGATCTCTTCCCCTCTCCTTTTTGCAAAGCTGCTCAAACCACTCTGACTGTTTTGCAAGTGTCACTCTTGTAAAGACAACCGATTGCATCACATTCTTTCCTTCAGTCCAATGCCTGGAAGATCCTTCTCCATTCCTTCCTTCCTCTATGGCTCCAACATTCCTATTGTTGCAAGAGAAGAAAAAAAAAAGGTTTTTGTTGTGCAAGAGAGCTGGAATTTGGGGATCCTTTTCCTCCAAGGATTCCCCTTCCTGAAGCTGCCCTACACATTTTCTCCAAGGTTGGTGACCTCGAAAAAGGAGAGAAAAAACTAATTTTTAAAAGAATTTTGTAAAACTTTTTTTTTAAAAAAAACAACAACATCTGTTTGAGCTTGAAAACCTGTTTGGGTGAAAGGTGAGGATTGCGACCTGTGTTACTTGCTGCAGAGGTTGTTATTTGAGTTTTGAAAGAAATGGAGATAAGAGGCAGCACAAATTCGATTTTCCTTTTTCACCTTCAAACCAATCCAATCTTGCATTTAACAGTAACAGAGTTGGAAGGGACTTTGGAGGTCATCTAGTCCAACCCCCTGCTCACGCAGGAGGCCTATACTAGAGATTCGAATTGCCAAATGAATATAATTATATATATACCGTGTTTCCCTGAAAATAAGACCCTGTCTTATATTTTTTTGAACCCTGAAATAAACGCTTGGGCTTACTGGCATGTGCTCAAAAGCCCGATTGAGCTTATTATCAGGGGATGTCTTATTTTGGGGGAAACAGGGTAGATAGATAGATAGATAGATAGATAGATAGATAGATAGATAGATAGATAGATAAAACAAGGTAACAAAATACAAAGACCTCAAATAGAAATAGAACAACTGTGGCAGAAGAAAGCAAAGGTAGTGCCAATAAAATAGGCGCATTGGATGCAATCCCGGAACATTCGCAGCACCATTTGAATACCATCGGCATTGACAAATTCACCATCAGTCAATTGCAAAAGGCAGCTTTACTCAGGACCGCTTAAATCCTGCAATGATACTTCTAACACCATCAAACATCCCCATCTACCTATCCCGGGTCCTTGGAAAGGACTCGATAGGTAGACAGAAATGCCAAATCGAGTCTGAACACCTGCTTGACCGTGTGACAAACCATAATCCTATTGCGGGTTTTCTCCCCATCTCAGGATCGGTTGTGACCCTGCCTTGCTTCCTCTAGAACCAGCTAACTACCCATGGCTCAGTCGGGCTTTGCTTGTGAACCTCCTCCTGATGTGGACACAGATGACTGCCTTCCGGAATATTCATATATCTTCAAGCCTGACATCCTCGAGTAAGTATTCCCAAGCTGCTAGGCCTCTTTAAGGTTCCCGTAAACCTGGTTGGGTGGAATAGAATGGAATAGGGAATAGGGAATAGGGAAAATGGAGAGTGGAAGGGAGTGGAGTGGAATGGAATGAAGCTGGAAGGGACCATGGAGGTCTTCTAGTCCAGCCCCCTGCTCAAGCAGGAGACCCTATACCATTGACGGCTAACCTTTTTGCCGTCGGGTACCAAAAGCGGGGGGAGTGTGAGGGGTTCGTGTGCGCGTGTGCCCATACCCATTATTCAATGCCCCCCGCACATGCGTGCGCGAGCCCCCTGCACACTCCCCCTGCTTTTGGCACGCAATGGCCCGGTGGGCCTGTTTTTCACCCTCCCCAGGCTCAAGAGGCTTCCTAGGAGCCTGGGGAGGACGAAAACGGGCCTTTCCCACCCCTCGGAGGCGCTCCGGAGGCCGGAAACGGCCCGTTTACCAACTTCCAGTGGGCCCGGAAGGCCTGAAAATCAGATTCACTTGCCGGAGCTGAGCTGGGGCAACGCTCGCATGCCCACCAATATGGCTCCGCATGCCACCCGTGGCACATGTGTCATAGGTTCACCATCACGGCTCTATACCATTTCAGACAAGTGGCTGTCTAGTCTCTTCGTAAAAACCTCCATTGATGAAGCACCCACAACTTCTTGTTCCGCTGGTTGACTGTCCTCACTCTTAGGAAGTTTCTCCTGAATTCCAGGTTGCTTCTCTCTTTGATCAGTTTCCATCCATTGTTTCTTGTCCTGCCCTTTGGAAAATAAGTCGACACTCTCCTCTTCGTGGCAGCCTCTCAAATACTAAAATACTGCTATCATGTCATCCCAAATTCTCCTTTTTCTCCTGTAATATTTCACCTTATCCCACCTTGTTTGTTTAAAATACAAGTTAGCTACGAGAGAGCTGGTGTACCCTGTTTCCCCGAAAATAAGACCTCCCCTGATAATAAGCCCAGTCGGTCTTTTGAGCGCATGCGCTAAAATAAGCCTCCCCCCCGAAAATAAGCCCTCCCCGAAAATATTTAAATGCAGAGCTGGAAATCAGGTAAGACGGCAAGAGGAGCCCCATCTTGCTCCATGCGCCCCAAAATAATAAGACCTCCCCGAAAATAAGGCCAAGCGCTTATTTTAGGGTTCAAAAACATATAAGACAAGGTCTTATTTTCAGGGAAACACGGTAGTTAAGGATTGGGAAGGTTATTGCCAGTCATGGAAACACTTATCAGTCCAATCTACCTTGCAGGATTATTGTGGGGATAGACTAATAGAGATTCCCCTGTAAGATACCTACAGCTCCTGGAAAGAAAGACAGGAGATGTTAAGGAATATGCAGAGTAACCCTTGGGTAGCAAGGGTGTGCACATGAAAACGTCTGGGAGTAGTTATGAATAATCACAGTCAGCACACAGATACACCGAGTTGTGATATACTTTTACTTTTAGGAAAAAGTAAAGCAAAGTCCAATAAACAGTCCAGGTCATACACAGATGAAGCGGTAGATAGTCAAAACGTCAGTCCAGGGATATTCCAATAACAAGGTCTTCTTACCATACATCTTAGTCATTCACAGTTCTTCTGGTTTGGCAAACAGTAGCAAAAACAGCAGTGAGTGGTAGAGAGCAGCAGCGAGCAACAGAGAGAATAAACCATGATTCTAGCTCCCTCTTAAAGACATTGGCCACAGAGCTAGCCAATCAGGACACAGTATGATGCAATACAGCAATACAGCGAGTTCGAGTCCTCCCTTAGGCATGAAAACCAGCTGGGCGACTTTTGTGCCAATCACCAGGATACTGGGAGTTCTAGTCCCGCCTTAGCCATGAAAGCTGGCTGGGTGATTTTGAGCCAATCGCCAGGAGACAGTGAGTTTTAGTCCCACCTTAGTATGGAAGCTGACTGAGAGACTTTGGGCCAGTCACTCTCGCTCTCAGCCCAACCCGTCTCTCAGGGTGATTGTTCTGGGGAAAATAGGCAGCAACAGTAGATATGCCCCCTGCCTTGCGTTTTACATAAAAAGGGTAGAATATAAATCTAATAGTAATAGCACTATAGCAATAGCACTTAGACTTATATACCGCTTCACAGTGCTTTCACAGTCCTCTCTAAGCGGTTTACAGAGTCAGCCTCTTGCCCCCAACAATCTGGGTCCTCATTTTACCCACCTCGGAAGGATGGAAGACTGAGTCAATCTTTAGCCAGTCAGGATTGAACTCCAGACTTTGGGCAGAGTCAGCCTGCAATACCACATTCTAACCACTGTGCCACCAGGGCTCCTAATGCAACATCCAATCAACTACAGCAATAGCAATAGCACCTAGATTTATATGCCACTTCACAGTGCTTTTACAGCCCTCTCTAAGCGGTTTACAGAGTCAGCCTATTGCTCCCCAACAATCTGGGTCCTCATTTGACCCACCTCGGAAGGATGGAAGGCTGAGTCAACTTTGAGCTGGTGAGATTCGAACTACCGAACTGCAGATAGCAGTCAGCAGAAGTAGCCTGAAGGACTGCACTCTAACCACTGCAACCACCTCGGCTCTAAATCATTCCTGTCCAGTTTTGCCATCTTTCTCATTTTCTACTTTCTAAGATTCTATTTAAGAAGTGCTAATTGTCTGGGTAAGTAACCTGGAGTAAAGAATATGATTCAATTTCCTTTTTTAAAACTTTTTTTACTCCTTTAATTTTGTGAATCCTGGAATTTCCTTTCCAGTGTTTAATGCTTTTTCACTTGGGAGCCACCCAGAGTTGTTGGGTGTTGGGTGGCAAATAAATAAGTATATCAATAAGCAAACCGTGTTGGTAGCTCCTGATTTCAGACGTCTCCCTTCTTCTGGTTTTTCTAGAGGAAAAGTGGCTTTCATCACAGGCGGCGGCTCTGGTATTGGATTCCGCATCGCTGAGATCCTGATGAGGTAAGGAGAAGCAAGATTTCTTTCAGGATCTTCAGCTAGGATCTTCTAAGTCTTGATTTGATCTTAGCAAAAGGCTCTGGAATTGATCTGTCCCCGTCTACACACACACACAAACACAGCCAGCCGAGGGTTAAGAAAGTACTTGGCACGCACACAGGTCGTTATCTCAAACTTGGCAGCAATATAAGCACCGTCTGCCAAGAGCTTTTACTGCAACAGATAACATAAAATTACATACGCATTGCAAATAGTCCAGCAAAACAATATCCCTTTCGGCAGCTTCAGTCGTTGTTCAAGTGACTAGCCAAAGTTCGTTTTTGTTCGTCACGGAGTTTTACCAGCCACCACCCTCTCTTATATAGTCTCTGGGGTGTGGTCCAGTGACTCAGTTCTAATCCCTAGCAGGCCTCCTTAACTGCTGCAACCGTTTATCATGCCTTCGTTGGCGTGCATCCAGGAATGACGGCTCTCCTTCGCTCTCATCCGAGACACCTGGCTCCTGGCTAATCTCCTCTCCCTCGGCCGGCACCTGAGACAGTGCCAGAGGGGAGGGGCCTGGAGAGGGAGGCCTGGCTGACTCCTCTCCCTCATGTTCGGAGCCTTCTTCCTCCGATGAGATAGGCTCAGAGGGCGGGGCCACAACAGGAATATTTTTATCTTCCCCATTTCCACGGCAGGGTAGCTGGCATTTTGTTTTCGGGCAAACGAATGTGTTCTTCTCGGTTGAGACGAGAACATCTCCCACTGCTGTCCCACTGTTTTTTCGTAGAACGTAGAATCTTAAGGCCGGAAGGGACCTTGGAGGTCTTCTAGTCCAACCCCCTGCTCAAGGCAGGAGGACTTAAACCAGGGGTCAGCAACCTATGGCTCTGGAGCCACATGCGGCTCTTTGGGCCCTCTGCTGTGGCTCCCTGTCAGGTGATCCCGCCACTGGCTGGCCCCGCCCCTTGACCTCCCCTCCCAGTCACTCCTTGCCTGGCCTGAGAAGGTAAGGGCAATGGTGGGGGATGGAGAAGCAGCCAGGGCAGAGACAGAGAGATACAGAGAGAGGGGGAGAGAGAGCGACATAGAGAGATACAGAGAGAGGGGGAGGGAGAGAGGGAGGGAGGGAGGGGAGAGAGAGATGTCAAAAGGTTTTTGTGGTTCCCTGTGTTTTTTAACAACTGGTTCTCTGCCCTAATGACCAGCTGGGTAGGCGTGGCTAAGGAAGGGTCATGTGACTGGTGGAAGTGAGTGACATCGAGTTGGCCACGCCCACCCAGATTTTGTGGCTCCCGGTGTTTTCTTTTCTGTGGGAAACGGTCCAAATGGCTCTTTGAGTGTTTAAGGTTGCAGACCCCTGACTTAAACCAGCTTGGTCAAATGGTTGTCCAGTCTATTTGAAAACCTCGAGCGATGGAGCACCCATAACTCCAGGAGGCCAACTGTTTCATTGATTAATTGTTCTCACTGCCAGAAAATGAGTTCTAGATTGGGTCTCTCCTTGATAAGTTTCCATCCGTTGCTTCTTTGTCCTGTTTTCCGGTGCTTTGGAAAACAGGCTGACTCCCTATTTTTGTGGCAGCCCCTCAAATATTGCTATCGTATCTCGCCTAGTCCTTTTCTTTGTTAGACTAGACCAGTGGTGGCAAACCTTTTATTCACCGAGAGCTGAACACAGTGGTGGGTTCCTCCCGGTTCGGCCCAGTTCGGCTGAGCCGGTAGCAGTGACGATAAGACGTCACCGAACCGGTTCTCTTTGTTTGGGAGCTGGACCCTCCCACTCACCCCCGCGTTATTCTTATCTTTTATTTGGCCCCGCCCCCAATCTATTGCTGCTTCCCGCGTCCCAGCTAATCGGCTAGAAGGAAAAAAACTATTTAAACTCTTGCCGCGGAGCTTCAAAGGGCCGCCCTACAGCTGATCTCTGTTAAAAGGCAGTGTGGTGGTAGATCGGTGCCTCCAAAAACAAATGAGTAGACCGGTGCCTCCAAAAACAAATGGGTAGACCGATGCCTCCAAAAACAAATGAGTAGACCGGTGCCTCCAAAAACAAATGGGTAGACCGGTGCCTCCAAAAACAAATGGGTAGACCGGTGCCTCCAAAAACAAATGAGTAGACCGGTGCCTCCAAAAACAAATGAGTAGACTGGTGCCTCCAAAAACAAATGGGTAGACCGGTGCCTCCAAAAACAAATGAGTAGACCGGTACAGCTCTGCAAGCAGTTAAAAGCCTGGTGGACCAGTACTTCTGCTAAATCCTAAAGAATTGTCACATGACCATCAAACCACGCCCACAAAATAAGCCGCACCCACAGAGTATAGTAAAAATTTTTAGAACCCACCCCTGGCTGAACAGGTACACACTTTGCGTGCTTTTGGCTCCTTCCCCATGCGCACGGCTTTTGCGCAACCCCGTGCGCTGCGTGTGCAATTCCACCATCTGCCTATGTGCACGGTTTTCACACGCACAATGCACATGCGTGGGCGCCGTCTGCGCATGCACACGCTCTGCACCAGTACTCTCGCGCACATGTGCAAACATGCGTGCATGCGCATGGGGAGAGCTCTGAAGACCAGCTGAGTCTCCTGAATTGTGCGTATGTGCACCGGAGGCCCAAACACCAGCTGGGGCACGCGTTCATGCGCAGCTACAGGTGAGTCGGGCGACAGCTTGCATGCCCGTAAAGATGGTTCTGTGTGCCCCCTCAGGTACGCGTGCCGTAGGTTCGTCATCACGGGACTAGACATACCTAGTTCCCTCAGTCATTCATTGTATGTGTCAGCGTCCCAGCACTGACATATAATAAAGAGAGGAGAAGCCTGAACTTTTGCCTACTAAATCCCTTTGAAGATTCTGTCTCCCGGAGATGGGAGGGGGGGAGACATTCCTGTGATCTGACAAAGAAGGGATCAGAAAAGTGACTTGGAAGATAGCCAATGAGAAGCAGAGAATTGGGGATCGGAAAGAGAGGGATTGGGGGACAAAGGTCAGTACTGACCGTGAAAGAGCCAGGATCAGATCGCTGTGCTCAATAAAGAGAAAATTTCCTTAAAGATCGGCAGTTTGGAAATTCATTTATTTTGAGATAGCATCGAAACCTGACAATATGGTTAGGCTCCAAGTTCCTTATCATCTTTGTTGTTCTTCTCTGCACTCTTTCCAGAGTCTCAGCATCTTTTTCTATATTGTAGACCAGAACTGGATGCAGTATTCCAAAGTGTGGCCTCATTAGTGCAGTTTCCCAGATATTAGTCTGCTGAGCCTGGATAGCTCAGCAGACTAATGCATTGTAATTAATATCCAGTTGTCTGCAATTACTGTAAGTTCGAATCTCACCAGGCTCAAGGTCGACTCAGCCTTCCATCCTTTCTAAGGTAGATAAATTGAGGACCCAGTTTGTGGGGGCAATAAGCTGACTTTGTATAAATATACAAAAGTATGAAGGCTATTGCTTAACGAATTGTAAGCCACCCTGAGTCTCCGGAGAAGGGCAGCATATAAATCAAATTTTAAAAAAAAATTGCTTTTGCATTTCTTTAAAAAAAAACAAACCCTAAAAGTTTAAAGTAAAAAGAAAGAAGTTTTTGCATTCCTTGACTTCTCTGTCTGATCTTGGGACATTTTCCTGCAGGCACGGTTGCCAGTGTGTCATTGCCAGCAGAAACTTTGAACGGCTGAAAGAGGTGAGTGGCTGAGAAATCCTGGTAGTTTTACTGTCCCATTTGGGATATTAGTACGCTGTTTCCCCCAAAATAAGACATCCCCTGATAATAAGCCCAATCGGGCTTTTGAGCGCATGACAATAAGGCCAAGCTCTTATTTCAGGGTTCCAAAAAAATAAATAAAATAAGACAGGATCTTATTTTTGGGGAAACATGGTAGCTTCTCGGAGAAGCAAAGAGGCCTCCCATTTTTTGTGGTCTTCCAAAGTTTCAGGAAGACATGGTTGTTTTGGAAGGTCTTTAGAGACCGATTCTGATTGAGTCAATGGCCCTGAAGGTGGATCATTATATCTCAAAGTTGACAACTTTTAAGATGTGTGAACTTCACCTCTCAAAATGCTGGCTGAGAAATTTCGGGAGTTGTAGTCCACAGATTTTAAAGTCGCTGAGCTTGAGAATCCCTGACTTAGATTAGGTTGTGGTTGGGTTAATGTTTAATAACTATAATGCTATTTGTATTTGCGGTGGAGCATGTCTGCTAAAAAATCCTTTTAGAAAGGCACCCCCACTCTCACGGAGACAATTCCCCCCCCCTTATATTTCTTCATCTATAACAACTAAAAGATATACAATATATTCCAATTGTACCCTTATCCCGTCCAAAACAACATATATTCTTGAGTAGGTTTATTCCCGTTGCCTTCCACCAACACTGATTTTATAAAATCCCCCCATATTTCATTATAATTGTTTGCTTCGATCATCCCTTTTTTAAATTCAATTTCTGTTGTTAGTTTATCATTTGTTGCCCTACTCCAAATTTCATGATACCAGTCATTTCTTTGAATATCCCAATTTCGTCCCCAATATTTAGCCATCACTAATCTAGCTGCCATTATCAAATTTACAATCAATTCCTTTTTTTGTTTCATTTATATCCCGTTTTTCCACCAGCAACAGTAATGCAAATTCTTGGTGACATGTCTAAATTTACATTCTTTTTTTCCCCTTTTTCTTTTGTCTTTCTTTTTTTGTATTTAGATGTATATATGTGCTATATTTGTATTATTTGTATTTAAAAAAGAAAAGAAAAGAAAGGCACTTCATTCTATCCCTTTTCTAAGTAGCAAAAATAAAGAAAATGTTGCCAGTTGGGAGATCAATAGAGCTGATCAGTGCAAGTATTAGATTTAATTTTCTTAAATGAGGGTTTATGGGGAAATTAAAATTTCTGGTTGATTCTATGATACACACAGAAATCAATAGTCTTCTACATGTTGCCAATCTTCTGGCTTGACCAGCAGGGAAAGATTCTGGAAGTCACAGAAATTGTGGGGGAAGAATGTTGTTAAGTGAAATCATCTTCATTTAACAACCCCATAATCCCTGGCGGGGTGGAGTCTGGGCAACTAAATGGAGCTAGCAGATGCTCTTCCAGTCGCCAATGCAGAGTTTTGTTCAGCAGATATATTCTCAGTCTGCCCAGAGAGAGAAATATCTGCCTCTACCTAGGATCAAACTCTTATAGCCTCCTGATTGTGAGGCGAGAGCTCCACCCCACCACTCCAATCATGTTAAGTGAAACACATTGAAAAAAAATCAAAAATTTCAAGGAGGTCTACAGGTAGACCTCATTTAGCAGTGGCCTCATTTACTGACTGTTTGAAGTTGCAACGGTGATGAAAAAGTAACTTTATGACTTAATCCCCCCCATTTACCGCCTTGGCAGGTATTGTCGAGCAACTGAAAGCTGAAATAAGATCGCAAGCACAGTCACAGTTTTGCTCAGTGACCACTTTGCTTAATGACCAAGTTGCCAATGCCAATTGTGGTCACTAAATGAGAACTACCTGTACTTAACTTCCCCGTGTGACTATCGATACGACGTTTTGATTCGGTATTGTGCATCAACCCAATACAGATTGTAAGCCTTTGTTAATTGCTGAATTAACTAGAGATACCCACTCAGTGGTAGATTTATGCAGTCAAAATTGGATAAATGCAAGTTCTGACCCAGCTCCCCAAACACGACATACCCTGTGAAATTAACTCAAAAGATTCCTTTATTAGGAGTGCCAGCAGCTCCGGGAAAAAGTTTCTTTCTCACTGCAGGCTAACAAGTCTGTCCAGCAGGGAGATAAATAGTTGTCTGCCACATCTATTCATCTCTGCCCCCTACTTTTATCCCCAGAGCTAGGGTGGGGCTTTGCTAGCAGTGGTGGCTCTTCCGTCCCAAGGACCAGCCCACGGATTTCCACTGCTCTCCTCTCCTCTGCCTTCTGCGCATCCGTGCGTTAGGCACTGGACCCAGCTGTTCCTCTTCCTCATCAGCCACCTCCAGACCTGGGAGCTGTTGACTCTCCATCTGAGGCTGATGGGCAGTCCAGGCTCCACCTCTGTCTCTCTCTCTGATAGCTCCATTCCCTCTTCCCCCTCGGAGCTCTCAGTTTACCTTGATGCTGATCCTGACTCCCATGCCTCCTCCTCCTCTGATTCAGCTGCTGGAGGGGCCGGCGACCGACAAGCCACAACAGCAAACCTGGTTGAGCATGGCATGCTAACCTAGCCAGTAAAGCTTTTTGAACGTCTCTAAAAAATAGGAAATGTTTCTTCCCATTGCAGTGCTGTCCTCTTCTGGTCTCCCCTGCCAGGCCACTGTCTGATCACCCAAAATCTTTACTTCTCCTGACAGGCAGCCAAGAAACTCTCTGCAGCCACTGGCCAGAGATGCCTGCCCGTCTCCCTTGATGTACGACAACCTCAAAGCATTTTAGCAGCTGTGGATGAGGCCCTCCGAGAATTTGAGAAGATCGACATCCTAGTTAACAGTGAGGGTTTGGTCCTCTTGGAGGTTGGGAGTTCTCCCCGTCTGCAAGCTTCAGGCTGGGAATGGGTGGTCCCTCAAGGGTGATCTTTTTGGGTGCTGGAAAGGTTCTGGTAGTTGAATTCATAAATGGCCCAGTGCACTCTTTCATACAGATCCTCTGCATCCCATCTTCACCTTTAGAAGATCTATTGGACAACCATCCAACCCAGGAGTGAAATCTACTTTCCTTCCCTACCGGTTCGGAAGTGCACGCTTGCTCTGCTCACATATGCATCACATGCAATTTTGGACCCTCTGTGGATGCGCAAAGCCTTCTGCGTATGTGCAGAGGGTCAAAAACAGGTTACTTCCTGGTTGAAACCAGGAAGTAACGGCGTCTGGGCGGGTGGGCAGAGCTTTGTACTGCTGCCGCTACCAGTTCGCCGAACCATGCGCCGCCACCGCTACCAGTTCGCCTGAACTGCTGCGAACCGGTTGCATTTCACCCCTGATCCAACCCCACAGAAACTTTGTCTCAAGAATCAAGAATGTTTCTTGAACGTATTTTGTATATTTTTGATCAATAAGGATTGATACCCACCTCAGTCCAACGTCTCTTTGAGTTCACCAGAGCCGTGTTTCTCAACCTTGGCAAACGTGAAGATGTGTGCAACTTCAACTCCCAGAACTCCCCAACCAGCATAGAATTCTGGGAGTTGAAGTTGCACCCATCTTCAAGTTGTCAAGATTGAGAAGTGCTGTTCTAGAGCACCTATTTTCATGACGCAAGTGTAAGGCTGATATTTAGTTAAAATCCCCTATCGATAGCCAAACTCCTTGGCTACTAGACAGATGTTGCATCTAGCTCAGGGGTCTGCAACCTTAAACACTCAAAGAGCCATTTGGACCCGTTTCCCACAGAAAAGAAAACACCGGGAGCCACAAAACCCTTCCCGTGCCTGACTATTTCTTGAGCGGCCACAAAACTAGCATATGTAACTGAATTAAATGTTCTGTTTTCTTCTGAAATTTTTCTTTTCTTGGATTTATCCATGGTTGGCCTACTGGGGGGTTGAAAAGCTCAATAAATCGCGTGCTGGCAGGTGTCGCACATCGGTGGTTATGATGCCTATTTTGCGTGAGAGGGAGCCGCAGCAGAGAGGTGAAAGAGCCACATGTGGCTCCAGAGTCACAGGTTGCTGACCCCTGATTTAGCTTAATTTCAAACATGGCTCCCTACCCTCAAGGATTCAACCAATTTGATTAATAATGGATGTGTTTATGGGGATATCATCACGTGCAACAGCTTCTGTGGTGGGAATTTCCATATGTTGAGATGATACGAATTCAGGTCTTAAAAGACTGCAATCCAGCAGGTCACACACTGTCTGTCTTGTTCCTTTTCCACTGTCTTGTTTCTCAGATGCTGCCGGGAACTTCCTTTGCCCTGCTAGCTCTTTATCGTTCAACGGTTACAAAACGGTGATCGAAATCGACACTTTGGGCACCTTCAACGTCTCCAAAGTCCTGTATGAAAAATATCTTCGGGTAAGAGGCTTTTGGTTGTACAGGTAGTCCTTGACTTGCAGTCATTTGTTTACTGACCGAAGTTATACCAGCACTGAAAACAAATGACTTGGGAAGAACTTCAGTGGTGGGTTTCAAAAATTTTTACTACCACTTCTGTGGGTGTGGCTTGCTGGGCATGGCAGGGGAAGGATACTGTAAAGTCTCCATTCCCACCCCACTTCAGGGGAAGGTTACTGAAAAATCCCCATTTCCTCCCAATCAGCTGGGACTCGGGAGGCAGAGAATAGATGGGGGCGGGGCCAGTCAGAGGTGATATTTACCAGTTCTCCAAACTACTCAAAATTTCCGCTACCGGTTCTCCAGAACTGGTCAGAACCTGCTGAAACCCACCTCTGAAGCACTTCTCACCGCACAAATGCAGCAGCCGTCTCATGGCGATTCCTTCTTTGCAGACTGGTTTTCAGGTAGACTATCTCTGGTCCTGGAAGTTCCACTTTCTTACCGAAGGCTATAAAAAATACGGTTGCAGCATTCCCCCCGTAGTCACATGATCCAAATTCAAGTGATTGCCAACTGGCATGTCGTTTATAACGATTGCACTGTCCTGGGGTTGTGTGATCGCCTTTTGCAATCTTCTGACAAGTCAACGAGGAAGACCGATTTGCTTAACGGCCACACGGTTCACTTAGCTAGATTCACTTAATAACTGGGTGACTGACTTATCAACTTTGGTGGTTCGCTTAACCCCTGAGGCAAGAAAGGTCATAAAACGGGGCAAAATTCACTTAACAAATGTCTCACTTAACAACATACATTTTGGGCTCAATTGTGGTCGTAAGTTGAGGACTACCTGTGCAATTGGGACCAGAATGTCTGTTGCTAAGGAAGGTGGTTAAGTCGGCCAGACCTGAATTTACGACCTTTTTTTGTCAAGAGTTGTTAAATGAATCACTGCAGTCATGGCCCCATCTTGACATTTTTTATTCCTCTGTGGATGCCCCTAAAATGGACATTTCACCCTGGGGGAGGTGAGGCTTCAGTTAGCCATTTGCCATTTTATTCTTTATTTCTTAAATGCCACAAAGGATGGCTATGAACGTTGTGCAAAAAAGCACAACAAAGAATATTCCTTCTGCGCCAACTCAGAAAGCTCAAACTGCCCAAGGAGCTGCTGGTCCAGTTCTACAGAGGAATTATTGAGTCTGTCATCTGCACCTCTATAACTGTCTGGTTTGGTTCTGCAACCCAACAAGACAGACACAGACTTCAGAGGATAGTTAGGACTGCAGAAAAAACAATGGCTACCAACCTGCCTTCCATTGAGGACCTGTATACTGCAGGAGTCAAAAAGAGGGCTGGGAAAATATTTACAGACCCCTCACATCCTGGACATAAACTGTTTCAATTCCTACCCTCAAAACGACGCTACAGAGCACTGCACACCAGAACAACTAGACACAAGGACAGTTTTTCCCCGAACGCCATCACTCTGCTAAACAAATAATTCCCTCAACACTATCAAACTATTCACTAAGTCTGCATTGCTATTAATCTTCTCATCGTTCCCATCACCCATCTCCTTCCACTTATGACTGCATGACTGTAATTTTGTTGCTGGCATCCTTAAGATTTATACTGACTGTTTCCCTATGACTACCATGTATCTTTTCTTTTATATACACTTAGAGCATATGCACCAAGACAAATTCCTTGTGTGCCCAATCACACTTGGCCAATAAAAGTTCTATTCCATCCCATCCCATCCCATCCCATCCCATCCCATCCCATCCCATCCCCATAATCTATATTCTATTCTATTCTATTCTATTCTATTCTATTCTATTCCATCCCATCCCATCCCATCCCATCCCATCCCATCCCATCCCATCCCATATTCTATTCTATTCTATTCTATTCTATTCTATTCTATTCTATTCTATTCTATTCTATTCTATTCTATTCTATTCTATTCTATTCTATTCTATTCTTTTCTATTCTATTCTATTCTATTCTATTCTATTCTATTCTATTCTATTCTATTCTATTCTATTCTATTCTATTCTATTCTATTCTATTCTATTCTGGTTTTTTTTGACGTTGACCTGAACTTTGCTGCTTGCTTTATTGACGTAGGAAAATGGCGGAGTCATTGTCAACATCACAGCCACTCTCAGCTACAGAGGCCAAGCTCTCCAGATGCATGCTGGGTCCGCCAAGGCGGCCGTAGGTATGAGGACCAAGCACTCTGTGTCCCCTCTTCTTCTCACCGGTAACTCTGTCCAAGGTTGAGGGTTTCACTCCTCTTGTGGCTGAGGATGATGGATCCTCAGGAAGGAATATTATAGCCACTCCCTCCAGTAGACCTGTGCATATCGGGGTAAGAACCCCCCTTTTGACAACTAACTCTAATTTAGCTGAGAGAACACATCCTCTTAGTTTGGAACCCATTTTTGGACGATGGAGTTAGATTGCATGGACTTTTCCTTTCTTTGACTTTGTGTAACGCTGTGTACAGGAAACCACAGATGGTTGCTTATTTCTTCTTCCGCACAGCAATCTGAGAGAATCCATGATTAAAATCCTAACTCCGGGGTTTCTCCAGAAAAGTTGCTGCCAAATTGGAAAGTACATGGAAAGTATGAAATATGAATTAAATCAAGTTACCGTATTTTTCGGAGTATAAGACACTCCGGACTATAAGACGCACCTACCATTTTTGGTGAGGAAAACAAGAAAAAGAAATCTGCCTCTGCCTCTCAGCAATTTTGCCTCGTTACAGCAAACAGTCTGCTGTACTTTCATTTTCGTTTTCAGCATAGCTTCATTAGCACAAGGGAAAAAAAAAATCTGCTCCCAGTAATTTACCTCCCTGCAGCAAGCAGCAGAGGCCTGTGCAAAACAGCTGAGAGTCAGGAGGCAGATCCAAGGGACAATCAACTTGTGCTAATTAGGCTGTGCTGAAGCTGAAATGGGCTGTTTCTTCTTGCTGCTTGCTGCAAAGCGATAAATTGCTGGGAGACAGAGGCCAAAGGGTGGGGGCCAGTGGGTGGGCGGGGCTCAGGGCCGGATTTAGATGAAAAGAGGCCCTAGGCTATTCCACTTATGAGGCCCTTTCACCTATAGTGAAAGTGTAATTTAAATTTTGCTAACAATTTGAATGTAGGCCCCTCTTGATCTTGAGGCCCCCTCTTGATCTTGAGGCCCTAGGCTGAAGCCTAGTTAGCCTATAGGAAAATCCGGCCCTGGCGGGGCTACATTCAGTGTATAAGATGCACCTAAATTTTCACCCCCTTTTAGGGGGTGGGGGGAAAGGTGCGTCTTATACTCTGAAAAATATGGTAGTTCTTCATCCTGACCTCGTCCACCTTAGAAGGTGTACCCCAAGGCCCAAGAATGTACCATATTTTTCGGAGTATTAAGACACTCTGAACTATAAGACGCACATACCTTTTTGGGGGAGGAAAACAAGAAAAAAAAATCTGCCTCTGCCTCCCAGCAATTTGCCTCCTTGCAGCAAACAGCCCGCTTCAGCTTCAGCACAGCCTGATTAGCACAAGCAGCTGATTGTCAGTTGGATTGGGCTCCCAAAGATCAGCTGTTTCATGCTTCAGGGATTGCCATAGCCTATTTCTGGCGGGTGGGTGGGGCTACATTTGGTGTATAAGACGCACCCAAATTTTCACTCTCTTTTAGGCGGGGGGAAAGTCTGTGTTACACTCCGAAAAATACGGTATATTCTAATTCTTGATGAGACCAAGATTTATGTATCTCCAAATTATGCCTTCATTTCATCAGCCGTATACCCTTCCTCCTTCAAAACGAGGAGTCTTAATTCTGAAATAATGTCTTCGAATCACGAAACCCTCTATAGTCCTAATTTTGTGCTTCCCTGGGACAATTCTTAAACCCATCTGTCTCTTCACAGAGGCTATGACGAAGCATCTGGCTGTGGAATGGGGGCCTCAACGAATTAGAGTGATTAATGTCGCCCCCGGTCCCATCAGTGGCACAGAGGGGTACCGTCGCTTGGGTAAGTCTTCTGAACTGAGAATAGCTTGTAAGGTAACTTCTCGGAGAGCTTCTGAGGTAGCTACTAAGACAGTGATGGCTATTTTTGCCATCGCGTGCCAGGGGGGGGGGGGGGGGGGGGGCGGCGTCGTGCGTGTGTGTGCCCACACCCATAATTCTATGTGCCCTGCCCCCGCGCATACACATGCGACACCCCCCCCCGCTTTCCCCGCTCCTGGCACATGATGGCATGGTAGGCCCGATTTTTTGCTCTCCCCAGCCTCCAGAGCCTTTTTAGGAGTCTGGGGAGGGCGAAAACAGCCTCCCCCCCCCTCGGAGGCCCTCTGGAGGCTGAAAACAGCTCATTTGCCAACTTTCAGAAATGTTCTTTGTCCCACTGGAAGTTGTCAAACGGGCCATTTCCAGCCTCTGGAGGGCCTCAGGAGGGGTGGGGAAGGCCGTTTTCACCCTCCCCAGACTCCTAGAAAGGCTCTGGAGGCTGGGGTGAGAGAAAAATGGGCCTCCCCCCCCCCCAGGCCCTCTGGAGGCAGGAAACAGCCTGTTTCCCTACTTCTGATGGGCCCAGAAGGCCCGAAAATTAGTTGGAGATGAGCTCGCGTGCCCACCAATATGGCTACGCGTGCTGTCACGGTACTAAGACAACAGTTAATTAATTAATTTATTTTATTCGGCTTATATGCCGCCCTATCTCACAGTGGACTCAGGGCGGCTCACAACAGTAAAACACAAGCTACAATATAAAATAAAGACTAAAATCTAAAAATTTAAAATTAACCCTTAAAACCCCATCATCAGTCCATAAATCTTCTAAGAGAGCAGCTCTTGAAAGGGGTGAGTGTATATAGAGAAAGTGTGGAATAAGAATTATTCCTGGAGGGGTGTTTTTTAAAAAAAAATTAGAACATAGAAATTTTCTATAGAGATAGTCCTCTGCTTACAACAGTTCCCTTAGTGAATGACATTACAACAGCACTAAAGAAAAAGTTACTTATGACCATTTTTCACAGTTATGACTGTTGTAGCATCCTCATGATTATGAGTCAGTTGTCAAGCCTTTGGGTGCTTGAGAACTGACTCATATTTATGATGGTTGCAGTTTTCCTGGCTCATGTAATCCCCCTTTTGTGACCTTTTAATAAGACAAGTCAGTGGGGAAAGCCAGATTCACCATGTTACTAATTTAACAACTGTAGTGATTCACTTAACAACTGAAAAGTCGTAAAAGGGGGCAAAATTCACTGACCGAATTTCTCACTTAACAACATAAATTTTGGACTCCATTGGAGTCGTAAATTGAGGGCTACCTGTATAACATTTTAAATGTTATGTGCCTATAGTTTTTAAAAGTTTATAAAGTAAAATAACTAAAATAAAACATTTATACTGCAAATTAAAATCATAACCTTGAATTCAGAAGAACACATGGTACTCCAAAAGAGTGGGAGTGTGTGAACTGGGGGGATTCAAATTAAAGTGCAGATTAAGCTGATTATTTAATATCTCCCATTTTTGCCAACTCTCCGTGTGTTGAGATATGTGAACTTGGAACATTCCTCGTAAAATGCAAATTAAACTGATTATTCAGGATGTACATAGTTCCTTCCCCCCCCCCCCCCCCCCCCACCCAAAACTAAAAGCATTTGTGATTTTACAATGGGTTCCAATGGAAGAGAAGAACTTGTTAAATGCAGGGGTTTCCCTCAGGGTGTGGTCCAAAGAGTCAAGATGGCCACAACAATCCAATTGAAATTCCATCTGTTTCTTTTATGTGTGTGCATAAAAAGACAGGTATTGCTCATTCATTCGTTCGTTCATTCATTCATTCATTCCAGGGGTAAAATTCACTTACCTTTCCCTACTGGCTCGCAAATGTGAGCGCACAAGCCTCCATGCATTTGCAGAGCCTTCTGTGCATGTGCATAAGGTAAAAAATGGAATGTGATGACGTCCGGGCAAGTGGGCGGAGCTTCCCGCTGCCGGCGCTATCAGATTGCACGATCCGGATAGATCCGGTTGAATTTCACCACTGATTCATTCATTCATTCATTCATTCATTCATTCATTCATTCATTCTATTTCTTTTTTTCTTTTTTGGGGGGATTTTTTTTTTAAAAAAAGATTAAACAAAACATAAAACATCCATCACCATTACAATTGCAAACAGTGTGTCTATCGGGTACAAATCCCTTGTGCTTCTTCCCCTTGTTCATATTTTACTAATCTCTCATATTTTCAATCTGATATATATCTTTATATCATTATCCTCATTTGTCAATTATTTAACAATGGCATTATCATTCCAAAGAAAATTATTTTCACATATTATATTATAACATTCATTTTATAGTCCATATTTCATTTCCATGTTTTATTATCTAGCCATTGATAAAATAAATCCCATATCTTATAATATTGTTTATCTTCCCATTCATTCTACTTCTATACTGTTCATCTCACCTAAGTGACTCTTTGAGAGGCTTACAATAAAAACATGTCACGAAATACAAAAGCATAAATAAGAATGATGTTAAAAACAGAATTAAAAGATAGGGTTGCAGGGTTAAACATTTTAAAAAGCTCAAAAAGGTGGAGGCAACCCCCTCACCACGCTAATCATTGCCTAACATTAATTATGACACTGTGGTGGTCGCCATCTTTTTTTTTTTTTTTGGACCACACCCTGTGGAGACCACTGGATTGATCTGTGGGCTGATGTCCTTCCACGTTCCTGTTTCTTCTCAAATGGGCCAACGTTGTCCTTTTCTTTTGTTCTTAGTTCCACCCAGCTTTGAATCCAACAACTTCTTCCAGAACATTCCCCTTCAGCGGGCCGGGAACAAGACGGAGATTGCTCACAGTGTCCTCTACCTGGTTAGCCCCCTCTCGTCGTACGTGACCGGCACAACTCTTGTGGTGGACGGCGGAAGCTGGATGACTACAGAGAATTCCTTTCCCTCACTGTTGGGTATAGCTAAGCTATAGGTGAAGTTTCTTTCCCGCTCGGTGACTTTTACAAGCAGGTCTCCTCTGAGTCACCTTCCACTTCTCGTCCAGGTTGCGTTCCTTGCCATAGCACAGACGTGATTGGCTCCAATCTTCTGGGATGTTTTTTTGGGGCGGGGGCTTCCAAAGCCTGAGCAGACTTGACCCAGGCTTGGGTTCCCAACCCAAATCATCTTCAAGAAAAATGAGATTCTGACTGAGATGACAAGGCCATAAAGCAGGGGTGGGCAAATATGGCCCCTTTATGACCTGTGGACTTCAACTCCCAGAATTCCTGAGCCAGCTTGGCTGTCAGGAATTCTGGGTCTTGAAGTCCACAGGTTGTAAAAGGGCCACAGTTGCCCACCCCTGGCCTAGTTTATTTCATTAGGATCATAGAGTTGGAAGGGACCTGAGAGGTCATCAAGTCCAACATCCTGCACCCTGCAGGATGAATTATACCGCTGAGTGACTATCCAGCCTCCATTTTGAAAACCACCAGTGAAGAGGAAGAAACCATAGTGCAGTACTGTAATCCAGTTGTTCTCAAGCTTTTCTTCATCGCGGAGCCCCTTTTAAGTACCTTTTATGGCCATGGACCCTCAAAAGACTTGAAATTTAAATCACAGCATTTTTTTTGAAGCCTTCATGGACCTTCTGGAATGGCATTGTGGCCCTCCTCAGGGGTCGGCGGGCCAGAGGTTAAGAACCACTGATGTAATCCATTTTGCTGATTGGTCGCTCTTATGATCAGTGTCTCTGGAGATTCTCAGCCATCCAGGTCATAGTTGTCCCAAAAGAGCTTTTTCAAAAGACAGCTGGACTTTGTTTTTCCTCAAAGACGTTTCGCTTCTCATCCAGGGAGCTTCTTCAGTTCTGACTGAAGAACTGAATAGTTCATCCAAAACTGAAGAAGCTTCTTGGATGTCTGTGGAGATTCTCAGTCATCCAGGTCATGGTTGTCTCAAAGGTGCTTTTTCAAGAGGCAACTGGACTTTCTGGTTTTTCTTTGAAGATGTTTTGCTTCTCATCCGAGAAGAGCTGAAGAAGCTTCTTGGACGAGAAGCGAAACGTCTTCAAAGAAAAACCAGAAAGTCCAGTTGCCTCTTGAAAAAGCACCTTTGGGACCTCTTAGGGTCAAATTCTTCTTAACATCTCATCTCGTAGTTTCACCCCATCTAGTCTTACCCCCTGGAGCAAGTGAGAATGAGTCCGAACCTTCTATAATGGGACAACCCTTCAGATATTTGAAGAGGACGACCACACCCCCTTCCGACCTATTTGTCATAGCCCCATCTCCCTCTTTCTCCAGAAGCTCGAGTTAGTTCTTCCTCTTTTCCCACCTCCTTCAGTCTCCAACTTTCTAAAGGACAACTTCTTTGTTGGAACTGTCAAACTTTAGGTATGACCCTATGCAGTGGTGGGATTCAGCCGGTTCGGGTGAATCGGTAGTTAAATTGCTGGCTGGCCCCTCCTCTTCCTGCCTTGCCCCTTCCAGGAGTCCCTATGTGCTCCATTTTGGCTCCCAGGTGAGTGCAGGGAGGCCTCCTAGGCCCAAAACGGGGTGTGTGTGGGGGGGGTGCGTCCCTCCCCCCGCAGCCCGTTTTTGCTCCCAGGGGGGTGCAGGAGACTGAGTGCTGCTTGTCACACCCTCTGGCCACACCCACCATGGCCACGCCCACCCAGCCAGTCATTAGGGCAGAGAACAGATTGTTAAATTATTTGAATCCCACCACTGACCCTCTGTAAATAACCTTACGTGGACTTCAATTCCCTATGTAAATGGTATGTGCAAGTGACCTTGGAAGAGCCGGCACACTAGACAGCGGTCAGAAGAAAGGGGTATAGCAAACGTTTCAGAAGGGACCCTCCCTAGTTTCTTGGGCTGTAAAGGTGACGTGGGGGAGGGATATACTTTCAGACTTGCAAAATTCAGTTAATGTAACCTTACAATAAAGTTAGAGATGATCCTCCTAGGAATGCTGCTTGTCTGGATTATTTTGTAAAGTGGACAGCAACCTTGCAAGCCTGAAAGTATATCCCTTCCTCACTGATTTTATAGTCTGATGCTGAGTTTGTTACTCATCTACTTACTGTATTTTTCAGACTATAAGATGCACCGGAATATAAGACACACCATGATTTCGAAGACGGAAACAAGAAAAAAAAAGTTTTTGCCCTCCCCAGCCCCCAGGAGCACTCTGCAGGCCTCCCAAACCCTCTCTGTGTCCTGTTTTTGCGAAAAATGGCCCGTTTTTTACGAAAACGGGGCCTGCAGAGGGTTTGAGAGGCCTGCAGAGTGCTCCTAGGGGCTAGGAAGGGCAAAAATGCCAGTTTTTGTGAAAAACGGGCTGGTTTTTGGCTTCCCAAACACTCCACACGTTGTGTTTTTGCCCTCCCCAGCCCCCAGGAGTACTCTGCAGGCCTCCCAAACCCTCTGCAGGCCCTGTTTTCATAAAAAACGGGCCAGTTTTTGGCGAAAACGGGATGCGCGAGGCGGGGTTTCGGGAGGTCAAAAATGGCTGTATTTGGTGTATAAGACCCTATTTTAAGGAGGGGGGAAGTGCGTCTTATACTCCGAAAAGTACAGTATCTATTTGGTAATTATTATTTCTGACCTGAAAATATGATCCTTCCACCCACTGTCAGAACTAATCCTTCCATCACCCCCCTTATTCTGCCAGAACCGATGAAGCTTCTTTGGATGAGAAGTGAAACGTCGTCTTTCTCCTCAGGAAAAACAGTCCAGTTGCCTTTTGGGAAAAAAAAAACTCCTTTGAGACAACCATGACCTGGAGGACCGAGAATCTCCAGAGACGTTCTGATCTGACCATTTCCTGGCCGTCTGCTCTTCCTCCTGTCTCCCAAGGTCACTTCTACATACCACCACTCCCCAAATCTATTTTTTGAGTTCCAGAATAAGTTTTATTTCAAGGTCATTTCTCTACTCGGATATTTCTTCTTTTCCCCCACCCCCTTCCATCTATTTGAATGTCCCATCAAGGTCATTTCCTGTCTCTCTGGTTTTTTTACAGATTTCTGGAGCACGGAACTAAAGAGAGATAAATGAGAAAAGGACCCCCGACATTTTAAGAAAGTGCCTTCAGTGCTTCTCCGCAAACCGTCTGTGACATTGTATGTACGGATAGCAGCCACTCACCTTTCCTAATTACAAGGTAGTTTAGATAACCTGAGCCAAGCTGGTTTGTAAGACGGGTCTTTGTCGCACAAAAATTGGTGGTGGTGGCACGAAAAGCTACAGACTGCATCCTGTTCACCCACCACCAGAAGGGTGGTTGAGGCCAAAGTCCACAACAGTGGCAGAAACAGCTTTGATTGGTTTGTAAGCCTTTGTATCATTTCCACTTCATTCTCAATCACAATTTGGGGACCCAAGTAATGAATCTGCATTTGTCCGGCTCCTGCTGTACGTGACATTATCTGCCCCCGTCTACACCCCTAATAAAATAAATACTCTACTTTTTGACAAACTCCCTTTTTACAACCCTATAACCCTTTAATTCGGGGCGGAGTCAAGGCGACTGGATGGAGCTGAGCATTTACTGGCCGGATGCCCTTCCCGATGCCACGTGGAAGTTCTTGTTCGTCTTGTAGCACTGTCAACCCATTCAGTAGCTGTTCCGGAGAAAGATTTGCATGGCGATGATTGGATGTGTTTGATGGGATGATGGAGCCATGGTCAACCCTGATTTCTTCCCAGGGACTGTATTTTTATTTTTTAATTCCTGACCACTTGGGAGGGGGGGGCACAAGGCGATTGCTTACAGCAGGGGTGTCCAATCCTATCCACTTTAAGACCTGTGAACATCAATTCCCAGAATTCCCCAGCCATTCCATGCTGATTGAGGGATTCTGGGAGTTGAAGTCCACTAGTCTTAAAAGTTGCCAAAGTTGGACACCTCTGGCTTAAACGGTGACTGGACCGAAGTTTCTAGCCTTTTTAAAAATGTGGTGGGAATTTATACAGCTAAAAGCATGAATGTACCTCATATGTCCTAACCCCATCTCCTCGCCCCAAAATTATTTGTTTTTTGCCATTATTATACTGGCAAACACTATATTCCTGAAGCCAGATCCTATCTCTTTGGTTCATCCCACAAAAATGCAAATAATGTTTTAAGGTCGCTTTTAGAAGAATAAATAGATATCTCCTCCCAAAATGTACAAAGACTTCCTCGGGGAAAGGTACCGTATTTTGATAGCCTTGGGTAAGAAATGGAACTTCCAGGACCAGAGATAGTCTATCTGAAAGCCAGTTTGCAACCGGGGAAAAGCCACGAGATGGCTGCTGCATTAGTGTTGCTTGATTTAAAGGCATCTGACTTGGAAACGTGGGATGCCAGAACCCATCGCTCACGTCCTCTTCCCCCAACAGGTGCCCCTTGCCTTTTTCCCAGGGTGGGTTTCTGCCTTTTCCCTGTCACCGAGTTGTCAAGTGAACTGTTGCTAAGCAATTAATCCTTCCTTCCCTCCAGAGCCAATGGGATTCCTGAAGCTGCCACTCTTGCAATTCTTTGCGTAGCTATAGTAACAGGCAGGTGTCGGAGGCGGGAAGCATCTCTTGGTCTCCAAGGATGCAGGCTTTAGACCAGGCGGGCATCCTAAGCTTGAGACGAGAGCATGCTGGTTCTTTTAGCAGGGAGGGAAGGATTTTTGTCCAGTTCCCCCAAAGGTCCTTGTTTGTTGAGGGGAAAAAAAACTGTGTTGAGGATGACTTAGCTCAGTGCTGTGGCATCTGCTTCTCCGGTGGTAGCTCCCAAGGGAGGTTCCTGAGACCGTTTGATTAGATACACCAGGCAGGCAAGTTCAGAGAGAAAGTAAAGAGTCTACATGGGTGTGATAACATACAATCTGTTTATTTATTTATTTTGTGGTTTATAAGACCTTTTCATTTGGACTGGGTGATTCTGGGCAGTGTATAATGTAAACACATCATCATCATCATCATCATCATCATCATCATCAAATAGTCAGAATATAAATAGAAAATCGAAATGATAAAATATCCATCCGATTCTGACAATCACAAGCAAATGATAAGACCCTAAATTGACTTCTTGGGTGTGAAAGCACCTTCCAGTGCTCTTTCCTGGTTCAAATTTTAGACTGCAAATTCTGTAATCTCCTTGTCTGGTCAAATTCCATATTTATGAATGGCTCTTTAAAAGGGGGTAGTCTGTATGTGTGAGTGTATGCACAAACACGTGTGTGTATATATGTACATATATATATATAGGTAGTCCTCAACTTACTACCACAATAAGGTCCAAAATTTATGTTGTTAAGTGAGAAACTTGTTAAGGGAGTTTTGCCCCATTTTACGACTTTTCTCGCCACGTTTGTTAAATGAATCACTGCAGTTCTTAAATTAGGAACATGGTTGTTAAGTGAATCCATGGACTTTGCTTGTCAGTAGGTCGCAAAAGGGGCTCACATGATTCCAGAACACTGCAACCGTCATAAATGTGAGCCACTTGTCAAGCATCCAAATGTAAATCTTGTGACCCTGAGAATGCTACAACGGTCATAAGTGTGAAGAATGGTCATAGGTCTCTTATTTTCAGTGCCGTTGTAACTTTGAATGGTCACTAAATGAACTGTTGTAAGTCGAGGACTACCTGTACCCTGTTTCTCCGAAAATAAGACCTCCCCGGATAATAAGCCCAATTGGGTTTTTGAGCGCATGCGCTAAAATAAGCCCCCCCTGAAAGTATTTAAATGCATGCGCAGCTGGTCCCTGCCATTTCCTGTGGTTAGGGTTAGAGCAGGGGTCAGCAACCTGCGGCTCTGGAGCCGCATGTGGCTCTTTCACCCCTCTGCTGCGGCTCCCTGTCACTCAAAATATGCGTTGCAACTGCCAATGTGCGACACCCGCTGGCACGCGATTTATTGAGCTTTTCAACCTCTGGTAGGCCAACCATGGATAAGTCCAAGAAAAGAAAAGTTTCAGAAAAAATCAGAACGTTTTATTCAACTACATATGCTAGTTTTGTGGCTGCTCAAGAAATAGTCAGGCACTGGAAGGGTTTTGTGGCTCCCGGTGTTTTCTTTTCTGTGGGAAACGGGTCCAAATGGCTCTTTGAGTGTTTAAGGTTGCAGACCCCTGGGTTAGGGAGGCAGAGCTGGAAATCAGGTAAGACGACAAGAGGAGCCCCGTCTTCTTCCACGTGCCCCAAAATAATAAGACCTCCCCGAAAATAAGGCCAAGTACTTATTTTGGGGTTCAAAAAAAATATAAAACAGGGTCTTATTTTCAGGGAAACACGGTACATACAAGCTGGCATTTAACACTTTAAAAAGCTTGTTTTGGCCTTGAGAAAAGTGCAGTTAATTCTTCAGGAATGGACAACTGGACAATCCTGTCCGTTTTCCTCTTCTCATGTTAAAGACTTTTTGCAGAGATGAAAACGCTTTTGAGCTCCAGGCTTGAGTCTTAGAAGTTAGAAAGGAAAACGGAGGGACAGAATGCAAGAGGAGGCATTGAAGTGGTAGGTGGGCAGTATTAAGATATGTAGGACCCAAGAAAAGAGTTTATTAAGGGCTCACGCCAAATAATTCTGGGAGTTGAAGTCCATACATCTTGAAGGAAACTAAAAAAAACCCACTGATTTAGACATAATCTCACAAATTTTATCTAAATTTTATCTAATTTTATCTAGGCATTTGAAGAACTATTTACTAATTGATGCCCGTTTTAACTTTTTTTATATTTATATATTTATATTTTTTTTTCTCTGTATTTGTGAGGCTATGTCTAAACCAGTGTTTTTTTAAAATTTATTATTTGCTTTAAGATGTGTGGACTTCAACTCCCAGAATTCCACAGCCCGCTCTGAAACACTTGATTATAAACACTCCTAGGTAGGGAATGCTGTTTATAGTAGAGTATTTCTCATCTTTAAGCCCCATATAAAAGACGGTTTGCTTTTTAAAAAATATATATTTTATTAATTTTTCAATAAACACAAAACCAAAAACATACATACAAAAATACAAAGAAAAGAATACAGTAGATACAAAAAAAAAGAAAGAGAAAAAAAAAGGAAAGAATATTTTTATGCGAAACTGTCCATTTACAAAACTTACCCCTATAAAATACTTATGCTCTATATATTTTACTTCAACAAATTTTATTATGTCTGAGCCTGTTTCATCTTTCTCTTTTTAATCCATTTGTACCATTTCTCCCATGATACGTAATACTCCGAGTCTGTCATTCCTTTCAATTCCAACGTTAGTTTGTCCATTTCAGTGCAGTCATAAATTTTTTTAATTATTTGATCCTCGGAGGGTGTCTTTACATTTTTCCAACATTGCGCAAAAGCCAGTCTCGCCATTGTTGTTATATGTAAAATCATATGTCTTGTCTTCTTATCGTAGGTTTTTCCCTTTATTCTCAGGTATAGTTCCAGTACAAATTCCAGTTGAGCACCTGTTATTTCTTGCAACCAATTTTTTATTTTTTTCCAGTTAAAAAAAAAAAAGATGGTTTGCTTGGACAATGGCATCAAAAAAAAAAAACAATTTGCAAAAATGCCCGTTACATATACGTCACTGGTCATAGGTTGCTGGCAGTGACAGGGTGAACCTTTTATATTTCCCAGAATGCCCTTCAGCAGGGTTAGGTCGAGTGCTGGGAATTATGGGAAATAAAAACGGTGAACCTTTTATATTTCCCAGAATGCCCTTCAGCAGGGTTAGGTCGAGTGCTGGGGGGAATTATGGGAAATAAAAATAAAAATTGCTTGATTCTAAAGGGCCGTGCTTTTCCTTCAGGCCTTCCTAGAAGTTGTAAATGAGAGAGAGAGAGAGGGCAGCTTCTTAACTTTTTCCATCTGCTTTCTTGCATCTTCAAAAACCGAAGTAAATACCTGTATTTTTCCCTTTGAAATGTCAGTCTATAGCCGCTGCATTCTTTCATGTTGATTTAAAGCTCCGGAAGATTGCTTTCGGATAAGTCTGTTTGCCTTCTTCTTTGATGCCCAAATATAATCGGTAACATGGCCAGCTCTTAATGGCAACTGACATGTTTTTATACCGGGGCTCTTTCTCGCCCAATCCTGGCTTGTCTTATGCAGTTAATTCATCCCTTTTTAATTTGCTTTGTAATAGATTTGACGTCCTATCCTGTGCGTGGAGCTGGGCAAGATTTTGGCTGCACGCTAAATTAAGAACCAGTGAAAGATCCCCCGGGATGTAAGAAACAACACTTTCGGAATCCAAAATACAATGTGATTCAGTGCTAATAACAGGTTTTTTAGTCTTCGATGTTTCTAAAATAAGAAAAAAAGAGGCCACTGCATGATAAAACAAAAACTCAGGTTAAACATACTGTAGAGATAGTCGATTTACGACCCCAAGCGAGTTCAAAATTTATGTTGTTAAGACAGTTGTTAAACAGGTTTTGCCCCATTTTATAACCTTTCTCTCCACCGTTGGTAAGTGAATCACTGAAGTTG